ATGTTAATGTGGGAAATATTTGCAGGTCACCCACCATTTGACAATAGAGCTCACAATCATCGTTTGATTTTTGATATTTGTGCAAAAGGTTTACGACCACCAATATTACCTGGAATTCCTGATGATTGTGTGCAAATGATGCAGAGGTGTTGGGATGTGGATCCATCAAAAAGACCAACTAGTAGAGAGCTTTATGATTTCGCTGAAAATAAACGTAATGAAATTTTTAAAAATAATGATGATAATGATACTACTAGCAGTGGTAGTAGTGATTCGCAACAAGCACATAAATCACATCCAGACGCGTATCATACAAGTAGAATATTAGATGAAGAGATTGCTAAATCGAAAAGCTTGAAAATTTATACAAGTAATGATAGCTCGTTAAATAGTCTTGATTTTAACTCTTTTCTCTAAAATGTTGACGGTGAATAAAAATTTCATTATTAATTAATTAAATTACTATCCATTAATTAATACTAACAATGTTTTTTATTTACATTTAATTGCATTGGATTCTAATAATTAAAAGAATCGATGAATGACTAATTTAATCTCCGCTATAAATTTATTCATTATCTTTTTATTTATATTTTTATTTATATTTTTATTTTATCTTTATTTTATTTCTTAAAGCTAAATTATAATAATGTTTTGAATAATAAACTTTTTACACTTTTTGATTCTTGTTAAATTGTGGTATCATTTCGGTCGGTTAACAATTATATGGCTTAACTCTTGTCAATTTACTAGTTTACAAATTTAATTTGGTTCCCTCTTTCTTGGACCTAGACGAATCTGTGAACACACTTAATGGTACCAGATAACTGTAAATAAATAAATATGGCCTTTTACAAAGTTCGAGAGCTTCAATTTCTTGTTTACATTCATTGGCTGAGCAAACTCGCTTTGCAAAACAACTCAAGTAGCTTGTTTAACAGCCTTACGTTTATGATTACAATAATACCACCAATATTTCCTTGGACGATGCTTCATTAACACCCGCTAGTTAGCCCTAACCTTTGCTTACTCACTAAAGCAAATTACATTATTAATTGTCACTAGTTAACCAACGTTAGTCCTAACATTGCTTGCTTGCTCACTGAAGCAAACAAATGTGACTTTTTACCAAAGCGCTAACTACACTTGTTTCTTTTATCAAAATGCTTTAAACAAAGAAAATAAAAATAAAATTTTATTTTTATTTTATTTTTAAAAGATTATTAACGTTTAATAAAAATAATTATTCTATCACAGAGTTTTATTTTATCAGAATATTACTTATCCATTAATTTCCTCTGCGATCAAGCGAAGACCAAAAGTTATTAATGAAATTTCGTCACTACAATTGGAAATTAAAGGCTTATCATTGCAAAGTAACTTAACCCAATCAATATTGATATTATAAAAACTTCTATAATTATTTACACAGTAATTAGTTGACCCGGAACATAAAGTATCGAATCCCTAATCGATGATTCTATGTATCACGTTATTAATATTAATATAAGAAATGTTCGAGTTTAATAGTAAATGAGTGTGTGGGAGCTGAGTTTGTATTCAGAAAAAGAAAAACTTAGCTCCTTGGGAACAACTGAAAGGGGATATTGGAATACACAAGAAAATATAAAAAAAAAACTTTGGAATATATATATTTACAAGTTTTTTTTGTAAGTTTTTTATATTTAATTAGCCTTTAAGGCAATTTTACTCAACATTACTTCTAATGTAGTAGTAATTGATAATTGGTTGATTAGATCATTGACTTCAAATCTCTTTTTGCATTTGAAATTTTTCAACAATGTTTGTTGAATATTTAATTTCATTTTCTGAGGGAAGAATTCCATTCCCGAGCTTTAGTGCACATTTTATTGCACTTGTTATAGTAATAGGTTTGGCGAAGACATAGTAGGACCAGGATTTGAGACATATGAATCATAATTACTTTTTTTTCAGTAGTTTCCTATAATGCGCCTGTGATATATATGAACATTAGTATAATATAAAATAAACAGTTGTTGTTTTTTTTCAATTATTAATAATGTTTTTTTTTTGCTCGCGTAAATCAAATTGTTTGATTGATTTAGAAATTTTTGTTAAACAATCCATTTGATTGATTGTTTTTTAGATATTTAGATGGATCTGATTAAAATTGAATGAGTAATCTATTCGATTGTTTGTTTTGCTCACATTGTTGTTGTTTGGTTTAGGATTTTATAATTTTCGCTTTTATTTATATATCACGTTAAATTCGTTGTATTTATTATAATATTTAATAAAAAAGGACTATAACTAAATACGTATCCGCTGTGACTGCCTGTATATGAAATTTTATTATAATCAACTGCTTGCAAGCTTTTTTGGGATTATTGGATTTTTACTAATTGAAGCTCCAATCACCAATGCTTAAAGAATAAAAATTGTGTTGTTTAGGAGAAAGGAAACGTGACTTCTGAGTGCCTTGAATTTGTCACATCACCTTCAAAAAAAACAATCTGTAAAACACGTGATAAACAAAAAGTCTAAATAATAATAATAAAAGTTTGTTATGGTAACGATTTTACATTATCAAAAAATTTACCAGTTTCAAAAGTAAAAGGTTTTTGCTATTTTTATTTTAAAATAATAATATTTCCTAACGTTAATAAACATGAAGAAAAACAAATCGCCCAAAACTCAACAAGAGTTGGAGAATACTTTCGAAATTGTTAACCACGTTCAAAATAATAGAAACAATATTAATAATGATTTGACATTTAGTAAGAAAAGCATTTCTTAAACTTCCACAAAATAATGTTCATTCATCCATTGTATTAATCAAATAGTTTGCATATTTTTTTAATAAGATTATAACTTGTCAAACTCATCGTCATCAGAGTCATCGCCAACAACAGCAGATTCTGATGATTCATTAAGGACATTAGTGGGAAACAATCAAGTTTATCAACGAGGACATGGGAATCATAAATTTGCTACTACTGCCCTTTCTTCATTTCATGTTGCGTACCTTGGTGAGAAGGTACCAGAAACTTGCATAAGTGATGTCTTTCAAAAATTATCAGAAGGTCTTGGTGAATTTTTTTGTCAAGATATAATAGAAGAGGAAGCGATAGATGGAGAACAATTTTCTAGAGAAAAACGGTATATCATATATCCACAAGGAAGTGAAATTAATCCCAAGGAGTTAATTTACACTGACACTGGTGTCTCTCTCTACACTATCGATCTTACCAATAAAAAATTATCTGTTGCCAAAAATATTTTACTCGAAAAATATTTAAATATCAAATCTGATGATAATAAACTTGAGAATGAGATTAAACAAAAGAAGAAACATGCTTATAAGAGATTTTATCACAATTGGATTGATCTGTGTGTTATATTTTTACCTTCGAATTTATTAAAAATTCCTTCTACATATATTTCAACTATGCTGGAACTACAAAAATATGTAACTTTATTTCCTATAATTTGTTCAGTTGATTCACAAATAGGCCTAGATGAGCAAAACCGCAGAAAATTATATAAATATTTGGTAAGTAAAAAAATACAATTATTTTTATGGGGAGATGGTTATGTGAGAGGAGAATTATTAGATGGACCAAGTAATCGTCAACTTCCTAAGGGTGACGTTGTTGATTCCACAAAAATTCAAAATTTAATGCACAATAGAAAGTTTTTAAAATTAGAATCTGATTTAGTTTATAAGGATATGCATACTCTAAGAGCTCAAGCTATCAAATTAAAAAAAAATCATAAATTAAAAATCAATTCATCAAATCATGAGAATCAATTTAAAAAGAAGGAAATACTCATTATTGCATCAATATTAGCCATGCTTGTGGTTTACTTTATAATTTTTCTCGTAGCAAATCTTTCTCTATTAAATATTCTCCCAGGCAACAGCTATGATAAAATACATAATTCACTTCTCGGTAATAAGCATTTTGGTAATAATGTTCAATATAAAGGATCTTCGGAATACATTCAAGTTTGGCAATTGCCAAACAACAAATTTTTATTTGATATAATTGATTCAAATTACGCCAAAGACAAAGAATTTGAGGTTATTTTACAATATGATGATGTGACATCAGTCAAGAAAGAGGTTAATATGATTGATGAGAACCAATATTCATTTAATATTGATTTTGAGGAATTTGTTGGAGTTGATAAAAATTTATTGATTAAAATAACTGATAAAAATGGTACAATTATAAAAGAATTTAACTATTTCCAAACAAATGAAAGAATCTTGGATGGTGGTAGTGAAGAAGAAGAAGAACCTATTATGAGTGATTATGATTATTACGATGAGAAATTCTTGAAAAATGATGGATTTGATGATGATGAATTTGATAATGATGATGACAGTGGTATTAGCTTTGCCATTAGTACAATTTATCAACGAACCAATAAGATTGTGAATCATGCAGTAGAAGATATTTCTTTAGTGATGGCACGTGTTAAAGCCGTTGCTGAAAAAGTGTTTAAAAAATCTCATGATTATTTTTCCGGGAAATTCAGCTTCTGGTTACCAGTTTTCTACGAAAAGGTTAAATGTTTTGTGAAGGAGATGTTGGATTTCTAAGTAAAAGTGTTGTTGACTAGTGTGTATTTGGAGTAAGAAATTTGATCAGTATGTATGTTGATGGTGCATTAAGTCATTTTTTCATATTGAATATTTTATACAAATTACTGGATTATTATTATTTTTAATGTGTATTAGTCATTATTATTATTACAATATTTATTAATTAATATTAGTATTAGTCTTAATAAGTTTCATAATAACTATCTTATTGATGATAATAATTTCAATTTCTCAGCACCACAACTGTAATGTGGCGTATACTTATTTTTATAATTCAAATATCCTCCATATAAAAGTAATTAGCCTAAAGGTATAGAGGCATTTTATTCTTTGATTTCATTAGTAGTATGTTCTGAGTTCTATCTAGAAAATTTACAAAGACATTAAAATTTATTCCAACAAAACCGGCAACATTTAATTCCATAAACAATAAAAATGACAATGATGACAAAAAAAAATTACCTATCAAATGCACCCTAATATCATTGTCCTATATATATGCAAGTTGAGTAGCATGACATCAAAACCCTCTTATTATAAAAGGTTTGTAGTGAGGGGCCTTATGAGTAAAAAAACTTGCTTTTAAATTTCCCAATCAAAGTTTAAAGAAAGTATAGTATTATTAGAGAACTAAAGCAATAGAATTGTTTAATTATTATTTATAAACTAAATTTTGGTTTTTATTTACTTTGTGAGCCTGATCCAATGTGAAAGTCCTTCTACAAATTTAAATAGCCCACTGTGTTTATTAGTTTCTTCAAAAAGTAAAAAATTACATCATAATATGTTACAAATGCCATGAATGACCCAAAAATTCAGAAGGACTTTATAATAAATAGTATTTTATAAATGTACATTCAAACCTCATTATAACGAATTTAGAACTAGTACAAATTTCGAAAGCAGCTGCAGAAATATCCAATCAAATACATCATTTTGCAGATACTTTCTAAATTTGTACTAGTTATAAATTCGTTATAATGAGGTTTGAAATCAGATAAAAAAGAAACAAAGTTGTAATTTACTTTTCAAGTTATTGGAAATAGTCCAACATCTACCTATCAATTTGGAAGTAGCATCAAGTTGTGAAGACCCTTCAATATGATGTTTCTTAAAAATTTAACAATATCTTTGACAGCATCTATAATTTCTTTTGCCCAAGGTAAATCTATAATTTTTTTAATAATAAGATTCACTCCATGTGCAAAGTAATATGAATTAATTAAAAATTAGTAATTCTAATAATCATGTTAATAAAATCATTTATAAAAAATACCTATAAAAAATAATTTTGTTAAATTTATTATTAAGAATCTTAAGGGCCTTTTTCATGTTGGCCACATTATCAGTCAAAACTGCAACAACTTATCTTGTCCAACTTCGTTAATTACTTTTAATTTTTCGGAGATATATTCAGCAGTGTGTGATGGTTCTTTGGTTTCTAATGCTTTCCAAAATAGTGGTTTTGGTAAAGTAACCACGAAATTAACAATTTATTTATTACAGTTGTTTGTCTATCATTTGTTATACATACATATTTTGATTTTTCAATTTGATTATTATTATTTTCAGTAATTTCATTATATTTATCATTTAACAATTTGATAGCGAGTGTTTTTCTGGATTGGTAATTTGTAAGAAAGATGTAGTTTTTGATAAAATAGTGATTTTTCTACAATTGATAGGGGAGACCACTACCAAAAATTGCTAAAGATAAATAATTGTCTAATTCTTCTTTTCTTTAATTGAACATTTATAAACAAATCCTTTCATGACTTTTTGTTACTTTTTTCATGAGCATTATCAAAATCTTTCCTTTTAGCTTTATTTTTTTTTTTAACAAAATTTTCAATTCATTTGGTGCGTCATTACAAGAAAGTAAATGTTTAATCATGCGAAGAGATTGTCCATCAAAAGTATGTTGACAATATAAAAGTTATTCCACTCTCGTATAAAGGAAAATATTAAAGATTTTATTTCACTATAAAGTCTTTGTATATTGTAGGTTCAAATAGCTGATGAAAAATAATCAAATCGGAACTCAAACACTCCAAATTCATACATACGGTTTGACAAACTCCTCAATTTAAAAAAAAAATGATGGAAGAGAAAGTCTTGAACCATTGTAAAGGATCCAAACAGCATCCTTATTGGAAGTAAAGCATCGGAAAATATTGTTGGGAACTTAAAGGACAAAAAACCTATTAAACATGCGTTGAGAGCAACTTTTTGTAAAACTTTCATTTTATTAATTAAAAGTCAATTCATATTAATATGAAAATTAAAAAATTAAAAAAAAAATTAAATTGGAAAATGTTTCAAATGAAAAAACATTATTTAAGTTATAATATATTACAGCCGGATTTCTTCTGAGCATGTTCTCTTGCTTGTCGAGCGGCTTCATCCTTTAATCTTTTTATTTCTGCTTCTGTTGCTCTTTTATGTTCTTCCGCTGCCCTTCTTTGTTGTTCCTTTTCTTCTCGAAATTTTCTATCTGCTTCATCCAATTTTATTTTGATCTCTCTTTGCATTTCTTCATTTAAATTTTTCATTTTAATTTCCGCTTCTTCTCTTTGTCTTGCCATTTCTTCTTCTTGTCTTGCCACTCTCTCTTGTTGTGCCTTCAAATCTTCTTCAATCTCACCTACAAGTTTTTCTAATACTTCTTTTTCAGTCATATAACTTCCAATTCTTTCATTTAACTGGTCTAAATTTTCTGGTCTGTAAACTTCTTTACAAGCATTTAAATGCAATAGAACTCTTTTTCTTGATTCATCTCTGATTATTTTGTTGGTTTCTTTAGCACGACCAACTAATGGTGGATTATCTATATGTATAACCTTTTTACATGCTTTGATTACTGCTGAAAGATCTTTGTTTTCATTGATAATTTGTCGCTTATCATTTTCACACTCGTCGGCATCTTCAAATTCAGGAAAATTGGTTCGCACAATGGTAGTATACTTGACAACATTATTGTCAAAAATAATGGTTCTTAATAAACCATAAGCATCCACTTCTTCTTTGGTAAATCTACCACTTGTAACAAATAGTATTTGACTTAACCCATTTTCGATGGAATGAGAAGCATCTGCCAGTTTATAAAGGACTTCTTGTTGGGTTAATTTTGTATCACCAAGACCAACTGTATCGATGAGTCTAAACGACATCCCATCAATTAAAAATTCTCGAACATTGGCATCTCTAGTTTCACTGGTAGAACCCGAACTTTCTTTAAATTCTTTTGTACCGCTTATTACGTTCGCTACGGTGGATTTTCCGCTTCCTGTTCTACCAATTAATAATATTGTTCGACTTTGCATTTTTGATTTTTTACGCAAAAAAATAATTTGTAAATGAGTAAAAAGTAATCAATCGCTACATTTATATCCCTCGTTATCATTAATATCAATAATTGCTGTTATCCATTTTTATGTTAAAATGGTACGATAACAAATGAAAACGATTTTTCCATGTTACGCATTAATATTAACTATTTATGTCGCGAAAATCAATACAAATTAAGAAATAATAGAATATTTACTAACGATATATAGAAATACTGGGCTCATTTAAATTTCCAAAAACTGTAATAATAATAATGAGATGAAAATACTTACTATTTATTATTAAATAAAATTTTTTTCAAAAAACAAGGATATTTATTGACTGTAATGATCTTTATTGTAAATAATAGATGAACACTTACGTCCTCCAAACTATTATCAAACCGGTTAAATCATAGATTGGTCTTGCCAAAACAACAGCAGCAAAGATAATCAAGAAATTTATGTTAAAATGGTACAGTAACAATTTATGTTGGCATTAACTATATATTTATGTTGCGAAAATCTTTACAAATTAAGAAATAATAGAATATTTACTGTAATAGAATACAATAATTTGCTCATTTTAAATTTCCAAAAACTGTAATAATAACAATAAAATGAAAAACAATATTTTTTCAAATACAATAAATGGTATTTATTGACTGTAATGATCTTTATTGTAAATAATAAATGAACACTTACGTACTACAAACTATTAACAAACCGGTTAAATCATAGATTGGTCTTGCCAAAACAACAGCAGCAAAGATAATCTTTACAAATTAAGAAATAATAGAATATTTACTGTAATAGAATACAATAATTTGCTCATTTTAAATTTCCAAAAACTGTAATAATAACAATGATGATGATGGAAATACTTACTATTTATTATTAAATAAAATGAAAAACAATATTTTTTCAAATACAATGAATGGTATTTATTGACTGTAATGATCTTTATTGTAAATAATAAATAAACACTTACGTACTACAAACTATTAACAAACCGGTTAAATCATAGATTGGTCTTACCAAAACAACAACAACAAAGATAATCAAGAAATATTTGAATTGGTTCAGTTGATTCTTGTCAGTTTAAACTTTTTTCTTCAAATTGTATGGTGCAGTACTTATAAAAAATTGATAGCAAATTTTGGTTTTTTTTAAATTAAGGAAGGACATTTATAAAAAATTATAGTAACCCAATTATTATTTTTTTTTTTTGGTTATTCTTCGCGATCAGTAATCTCAGCCGGCTAAGTCGACTTGCTTAAAATGATCTATTTTTCTACATGTATACATACATACATTATCTAAAATTTATATACCATAATGACGACGAAGTTGCTCGCCGGCTTTGTGTTTTTATTCTCAAATTAAAATGTATTTATTATTATTATTCATGAAATTATAAAAATTAAAACCATTTAAATACACAAGCTAAACTATCTAGAGTTTCACCGACTAGTTGAAAAATACCGCATTTTTTCTCGACATGTTC